GAAATCGAGGGTAGAAATCAAGAGAAGACAACTACATGCATGGCTATGGTAACCTTTGGTGATAATGACATGTGTGTTGAAATGACATACCATAATTGGCCTTTGTTTATCACTAGGATTATCTATGATGTGAAAATTTCTCAAATTTTGGTTGATAGAGGATCTGCGGTAAACCTCCTGCCTCGGAGGGCCTTAAACTTATTAGGGGTTCAAATTTCACAAATTCGCCCAAGTTGTTTGATCATTCAAGGATTTAATTGGAATGAATAATGCCCAATGGGGAAGATTGAATTGCGAACCAAGTTTGGGCATATTGAAGAAAGCACTGAGTTTTTGGTCATTAATGTAGACACCTCCTACAATGCTTTGCTCAGAAGACCATGGATGCATAATCATTATGCAGTACCATCAATTTATCACCAATGTATCAAGTACCCGTTGCCTTCACCAAAAAAAAAGGGGACAATTGTGGCTGACAATGATCCATTTGGAGAAGCAGAGGCCTATTATGTTGATGCTCGCTTCTATAAAAAGACTTCACAAAGAAAGGGAAAGGATGTGAAAAAGTCTAAAGATACTCTGAATGTCAAAGACACTCTAGAGTCTACTACAGTTTCAACAAAAAGAACTTTTTGATATGTGCTAAAGTCTGAAAGGAAACTGGGGGCAAAAGCTCTAGCCACAATAAATCCAATTTTGGATCTCAAGGGTGAGTTCACGTTCCCATTGAGGAGGACCAAATGCACCTATGTGGAGAAATATAATAAGATTGTGGTCCCTCCTAAAAGAAAAGGGTCGAAACCCATCATATTCCATTCACTTGGAGATGTTGAACAAAAAGTGAAAGTTGAACAAGCGCCAGAAGAAAACATCTCGAGTTTTGAGAAGCCTACCTTCAGTGCAGAAATTATACAGATGTTGGTAAAAGTTGGTTTAGATCCTGAAAAAATACCAGGAATAATGACACCCTTTGACTTTGCATTAACACCTTTGCAGAGGCAGGCTATCCAGCAAGGCGGTATTATCACCGCAAGGATAGAAGGGTTAGGCTATCGGGGGGATGAGGAAAGATTTCCAGTAAACATGACTATCACTCAAGATGTGTTGGAAGATGTTAACCTGCACCAACAGAATTTGAAGCCGGAGGCCAAGCTACCGTGGATGACCTTCGTGAGGTAAATCTGGGTGATGAAGGAGAAAACAAACCAACCTTTGTTAGTGCAACTTTAAAGGAAGAAGAAGCTCAGCAATATATTTCCTTCTTAAGGGAGTATCGCGATATATTCGCATGGAACTACAGTGAGATGCTTGGTTTTAATCTAGAGATTGCAGTCCATAAGCTTACAATTCACCCTGAGAAATGGCCAGTTAAACAGCCTCAGAGGCGAACTCGACCAGAAATTACAACCCAAATTGAAGCTGAAGTCGACAAGCTTATCAATGCAAGATTTATCAGGGAAGTCAAATATCTAACCTGGCTAGCAAACATAGTGCCGGTCAAGAAAAAGAATGGTCAAATCAGGGTTTGCATTGATTTTCGTGGTCTCAATGAGGCTTGTCCTAAAGATGACTTTCCCTTGCCTATCACTGAACTTCTTGTAGATGCAACTACTGGGTATGAAACCTTGTCTTTTATGGATGGATACTCAGGATACAATCAAATCCGAATGACACCAGAAGATGAGGAAATGACTGCATTCAGGACTTCGAGAGGAGTCTTTTGCTATAAGGTAATGTCCTTTGGTTTGAAAAATGTTGGGGCCACGTATCAAAGGGCGATGACTGTAATTTTCGATAATATGCTCCATGACACCATTGAATGCTATGTTGATGATCTTGTTGTCAAGACAAAGGAAAAGGAAAACCATGTGGAAGATTTGAGAAGAATCTTTGAACGTTTGAGGAGATACAAACTCAAGATGAACCCACTAAAATGTGCATTTGGAGTTTCCTTAGGAAAATTTCTAGGGTTTGTGGTTCGAAACAAAGGGATCGAAATTGAACCTACCAAGATTAAAGCCATTGCTAAAATGGGGCAGCAGCTAAAAAGGGACTGCAGTTTTTTTTACATGTTTGTCTCTATTTTTAGAAGGGTCTTTGTTTGTTAGACTATTTGGATTTATGGTTTAGCAAAATGGGCTGTCTTTGTTTTAAACAAACAGGGCAGTAAACAGATTTTTACTGTGACAGACAGACTTAAAAAATGGGGCAGCAGCTAAAAAAGGGCTATAGTTATTTTTTTTTTTTACATGGTTGTCTCGATTTCAAGAAGGGTCTTTGTTTGTTAGACTATTTGGGTTTATGGTCTAGCAAAATGGGCTGTCTTTGTTTTAAACAAAGAGGGTGACAGTTTTTTGCCATCATATAAAAAAAATTTGTTTGGCCTCATGACTAGCAGCAACCAAAAAAAAAAAAAAAAGGTGAAAAGCAACAGATAAATAAACAAATACATGCTGTTAAAAAAAAAGGAAAAGCAACAAATAGGGAAGTATACCTAATTAAAAGGAATTTGAAGGAATTCTTTTGTGCCTTCTTTAAAGTGTAAGAAGAACAGCTTCTGCTGGGAAAAGAAGAAAGACAATGGCCAGACAACTTCTGATGGAAATAAGTTGGAAGGATGAAGACCTAATATGCACTACACAATTTGTAGAAAGAAAAAAAGAGGCTGCTGGAAAATTGTTGGAAACAAAAAATTCTGCTGGGAGAACAAAGTTGCAGGAGGAAAAATATCTATTGTCCACTTGCATGGATAGGTGTTATATAAAGCAAAAAATTCTCGCTTAAGAAGGGAGGTAGTGGTCCCCTAAAATACTTCAAAGAAGCAAGAGTTTAGGTAGGATTTTAAACACTCCACAGAAGCAAGAGTTTGTGTAGGATTAGAAATCTTACCAATGCCAATCCATCCTATTCCATTAAGACAAACTCCTATAATATATATATATATATATATATATATTTGCTGAAAAAAAATCTGATCCTAAAAAATAAAAAATAAAAAGTAAGTGGCAACCTGGAGGTCCACAAAAGAAAAGGCCCAATAAAAATGATGGCCTAGAAAAGGAAAGGTCCATGATGGCCTAGAAAAATCCGTGATGGCCTAGGACAAAATCTGTTGTAAAAAAGTAGTGGTAAGTTGGAGGCCCACAAAAGAAAAGGCCGAATTAAAAAATGGTGACCTAGAAAAGGAAAGGTCTATGATGGTCTAAAAAAATCCATGATGGCCTAGAAAAAAATGGTGGCAAGTTGGAGGCCCACAAAAGCAAAGGCCTAATTAAAAAATGGTGGCCTAGAAAAGAAAAGGTCCATGATGGTCTAGAAAAATCCATGATGGCCTAGAAAAAATTTTGTTGTAAAAAAAATGGTGGCAAGTTGGAAGCCTACAAAAGGAAAGGTCCAATTAAATCTTTGGACCTTACCTATGACCCGTATGAAAAAAAAAGTCCCTGAAAAGAAACCCATACCAAAAAAAAAAAGGCCCATGAAAAGGCCGAAGTCCATAAAAAAGGGGCCCATGCAACAAAAATAATAAAAGGCCCATGGACTATAAGGAGCAATCAACCCATTTTTTTAAAAATAAAATACAAAGCCTAAAAAGTGGCAGAAAGGGACCAAGGCCAAGAAATAATCCCATCCAAGACCTAAAGAGGATCTAGATAAAAGTGTCAATTTGTCGTGACTCGCACAATTAAGAAAATTCACTTGTGTAAGTCATGAGGGGGCATTTGTTGGCACATAAATTTCAACCATATTTATGTTTAAATTTCAAATACAGTCAATGACACGTATAGAGCCTATGATAGGAAGGTTGTAGGTAATCACTTCTTAAAAAGATCAATATGATCCGTTGAATTGCATAAATAAAACGATATTGTATCTCAACGACGTTATTCAAGATGCTCAAGTGACACGTGGAGCCTACGAAAAATGGCACTTGTAGAGCCTACAGTAAGGACACCACACAGGATGAAACCTCAAAGATCAATCTGGTTAATCAGATATACGATTAATCATATAGCGCTATCATTCAAAATTCAAATAGCGCTATCATTCAATTTGAAATTCAAATTGGGGATGAGGCATTCTTATCACCTAGATGGCCCTGTATAAATATGACGACCATCACACAAGATGGGGGATCAGAAAATCAAAAGTGAGAATATCAGAGAGAGAGAGAGAGAGAGAGAGAGAGAGAAATCAAGAGCTAGAAGAAAAGAAGCCTAAAGAAGTCAAGAAACTACGTTACAAACACAGAATGGGGATGAATAGGTAAAGGGTTCCAAACTCAAGAATTGTACTTTGTATTCGAGGGTTCAAAACCTATAACAATTTCAATAAAATATTTATTTTTCTTAAATGGTCTTCTGTTATTTATTTTGTTCTTCATTAATCGGAGGTTTTATTTATATAAAATGTGTAATTAATGATCTAAAATAGGAACTTGCTATTCAAATAATTAACACTGCTTAGTCCAAAAAACTAAGCAGTGGACATTTGTAACATAAAATTTTGAAATGTGTTTCATGTTTTAAAATTTGTGTCTACAATGAGCGAAGCCCAAGTTGTGTTTGGGAGCAGCTCAGTTCTTTTATCAGTTCTATTAAATTTGCCAACCATGTATTAAGCTTTTATGAGGCTTGTTTAATGGGTCAATGAGCTTGAACAATTTCATTAATGGGCGAAGCCCAAGTTGTTTGGGAGCAGCTCAGTTCTTTTAGCAGTTTTATTAAATTTGCCAACCATGCTCTGTAATTGAGCAGCTACAATAAACTTTTTAGATTTGTTATTAGTATGATCATCCAACTTTATCTCATGTAACAGGTATTTGAAAACCAAAATTAATTATCATTTCTTTGAGGTATAACTGTAGGTGAATGTGGAATGCATGCACACAACTGTGCTTTAAACAAGTACAAACAATTGTTAAAGACTAGATAGTATTTAAACATTTGTGTGTAAGTACTAAATCTTCTAAATTCTAACGACCTTCTGTCTGAGTGCAGAAGTGATGTTCTGCTGCGACACTTGGAGAGCCTACATGCTCGTGAATCTCTTGCTCGGATTGTTATTGATGAAGCTCATTGTGTAAGCCAATGGGGACATGATTTTAGACCAGACTACCAGGTTGTGGCTTTTTAACTCTTTACTTCAGATATTAGATAGTGTATCTTTAAGTTGATGTTAACTATTTGCTATATTTTGTCCAGGGTCTTGGTCTCTTGAAAAGGAAGTTTCCAAATACACCAGTTTTGGCTTTGACTGCGACTGCCACTGCTAGTGTCAAAGAAGATGTAGTGCAGGCTCTTGGTCTTGTCAACTGCATTGTTTTTCGGCAAAGTTTCAACCGGCCAAATCTATGGTAAGGGTTGAATTGAAGATGTATCATTGCTGAAAGTTGAATTGACCTCCTTTTTGAACTTCGTAGGTATTCTGTTATTCCCAAGACAAAAAAATGCGTGGAAGACATCGATAAGTTCATTAAAGAAAATCATTTTGATGAATGTGGGATCATTTATTGTCTCTCAAGAATGGACTGTGAAAAAGTTGCTGAAAAGTTACAGGTTCATTCTTTCTTATGATAGCTTTATTATTTTCTGCGAGGGAATGGTCTAATGCCCTTGCCAATTGGAAGATATAATAACATGGACAATCTCCTATCCTCACTTTTTTTTTCTCTGTCTAGTTAATTGACTACTAAGTATATCAAAATTGGCCTTTACCTATCATTTATGCTGTTGATGTCCTTGAGTTGGTTGTCAATTGAGATTTTCTTGATAATCTGTAATAGCGGACGGAAATTTCTTTAATTTTCAGGCCTTTTGGATCTTTGAAGTGGTAAGCATGGTTGTTGAGTTGAACAATGGAAACATGCAAGATTCTTTCTGGGCATCTTTTAATGAACTCTAGACTGGTTCTTTTGTTGAAGTGCAATATGTGTTCCCATTGTTAGTAGAATGGAAGAGTTGTACACAGTAGATTTGCTTGAAATCACAGCCTTTTTCAGTAACGAGGAACTAGATTGATGAACTGTTCCCATTAGGAGCCTTATGTTCATCTCCTCTTCCACCAAATATGAATTACTAAACCTCCACAGTGACCTTGAGATACCTCACGTTAAATCATGTTATGTTCTTCTCTTTTCTTTGATTTGCATATCTAAGTAAAAGCTTGATCTTACATTGATATAAGTAATGATAGGTTAAGGATTCAGCAAGAGTTTAATGCTTGAATTTTTTTTGATTGCTTATGAGAAGTTATTCATTTTTCAGGAATGCGGACATAAAGCAGCTTTTTACCATGGGAGTATGGATCCTGCTCAACGTGCTTTTATTCAGAAGCAGTGGAGCAGGGATGAGATTAATATCATATGTGCAACTGTGGCATTTGGAATGGGTATAGTTGATTACAGCTGTTACCACCTTTATAAGCTATTATGGGTGTATAGTAACATATATATTTATATATATATTTCAGGTATCAACAAACCTGATGTTCGCTTTGTCATTCATCATTCTCTTCCTAAATCCATTGAAGGCTATCATCAGGTATTTATGAAAAGGGCATTGCTGGCTTCCTATTTTCTGATTCTGTTAATAACTTTTGACAGAGAAATACCATGGTGTAGGTAATAATAAAAATCGTATTGATTTTTCTTCAATATTTAGGAATGTGGTCGTGCTGGTAGAGATGGTCAGCGTTCATCTTGTGTGTTGTATTACAGTTACAGTGATTATGTAAGTTACTTTGTTGTAACCAATCTTGCTATTGATTCTTGCTAAATTTTGAAATCGGTACACTGCAATTGGACATTGGCTGTGGTTAACATTGAGATAATAAGTTTTTCCTTTTGCTTCTATCATTTTCTTCCTTATTTTGCCGCTTTACATTTCCACACTGCTTCCATTTTTCTGCAGATCAGAGTCAAGCATATGATTACTCAAGGAGCCGTGGAGCAAAGTCCATTGCCATCTGCATATAAGCGTACAAATATGGATAATTCAGGAAGGTTACGGGAGACAAATACTGAAAATATTCGAAGAATGGTACTAGTCAAAAGCCTTTATTTTGTTGATGTCAACCTAGTTGATTATTTTAATTTGTTCAACTGAACTCTTCTCAGGTCAGTTACTGTGAAAATGATGTTGATTGTCGACGTCTGCTACAACTTATTCATTTTGGTGAAAAATTTAATTCTTCCCACTGCAAAAGAACATGTGACAATTGTTCCAAGAACAAAAGCTTCATTGAGAAGGATGTCACTGAGACTGCAAAGCAATTGGTTTGGAATTATATTATTTTCTTTGGTCAATTCTTTTTTTTTTTAATTTTTAATTTTCCTGCTAGATATTGAAGAAGCAGTTATTAATATATCTTAGCCCTTGGATGGTTTTGTGTGACAGTTCTTTGCCTTTTGTATAATGCTTAGGTTGAAGTCGTGAAGTTAACAGGGCAACAGTTCTCATCATCTCATATTGTGGAAGTCTACAGGGGCTCCTTAAGCCAATTTGTAAGTTCTATTACTTAAGAAGTATTTTCTTTGTTTTTCTTTTTTTTTGGGTTTATTTATTTATTATTTTTTCACCCTTGTGTTTAGTTAACCGTATCAGATTTTGCCATTACTCTATACCTAGGTCAAGAAACACAAACATGAAACATTGAAGCTGCATGGAGCTGGAAAACATCTAGCCAAAGGTGAAGCCTCACGTATATTGCACCATCTTGTTGTTGAGGATTTTCTTGTGGAGGATGTAAAGAAAAGTGATTTTTATGGATCTGTATCATCTATATTAAAGGTAAACGCATGTTATGGTTTTAATTCTTTTTATAATTGACCTTTCATGTTAAATAATTGCTATTGAAAGCAACAAATATTTGATCTCTTTCCCCTTCTTTTTTTCTTGGTTAGTAGATATCTGAGAACTGCAGTTGTCATTAGAATTTTTTATCTTCAGGTTAATGAATCCAAGGCTTACAACCTCTGCGTTGGTGTTCAGAAAATAACATTAAGGTTTAGCCTTCACTCTGATTTATTTATTTATATTTTTAAAATTTTTGTCAGCATTGTCATTATTTTGCTGAAAGTAGTGATTTAACTCCTTGAATTCATGTTTTGATGAATTTTAAGTTGTGATTTGTTAAAGATATTTCCTTACTGTTATGTCGGATACAACATGTTAATTATTTGATGTCAGATGGACTTCATTTTCCGCAAGGCACTTTACATACATGTGTATAGTTGTGTACATATGTGAATTCTTAAGATTTGCTTGTATGTAGCCCTCTGTTTAGAGCTCCATTTGTGGCTGACGGCTGTAGCTTCAAAACCGTTTGCATTGAGCCTGGCCTTCCACAACTAATGGGCTTAAATGTAGCTTGATTGTCTTTCCAAATAATCCATTATTTGGTCAACTGTCTTAAATTTAATTATGGTTTGAGTATAGGAGGTATACTGATGCCTATGCTAGCCTGTGGCAGATTTGTCATGTAAACTAGTTTCTTCTATCAATGTCTTATTTGGGTCTAGCTTGCAAACATCTACTGTGGAATCTAAAGACTCAAGTTTGGAAACATGCTAAAATAGTCAAAAAGTCAGTACCAAAAAGTCAACTCTTCTCTCTATTTTTCTACACGTCTTTTTGTAAAAAGCTAAAAAACCCAATTAAAATAGCTAGTTCCCAAAACAACAAATTTTTTTTTTTAATAAAAAAAAGAAAAAAAAAAAAGAGACAAAGTTGCTATAGAAGATAAGGATTGGGTGTTTGTGATGCTTTAACTCGTCTCAGTATTAACGTACACATCTCTTTTTTGTTGACAACCCATGTTATCATAGTTTGCTTGTTAAGTTCTTCTCACATTTAACATGGACCCTATGCGAGGTTCTTTCATTCACGCTGACTTAACTTTCTGCTCAAGTTATATATGAATTTATTAGACTCTACAAATTATTGTAATTTCTGAAAAATTTAATGACCGCTTGTATTTTTGAATAGCTTGATATACATTATTGGATCCTAAATAGGATTCTAACATTCGATAATTTGATTTGGACCATCATATTCTCGTGAATTGGCATTGTATATGCTGTGGCGATGCGGAATCTATGGATCACTTGCTCATTCGTTGTCCTAATCGTTTGTGGATGCTTTCTTTTTTTTCTATTTTTGGTGTGTCATGGGTTCAACAAAGAGGGGTGGTTGAGGTTCTTTGGAGCTGGGAAGGGGGGGGGGGGGGGTTGGGCTGTGAAAATGATGTTGATTGTCGACGTCTGCGCTCGAGCGGAATCGGTGTATTTTTCACCGGGTGCCTCATCTTGCTTTGTGGTTAGAGAATAGGTTGGTAGTAGTTCTGTATGGTTGGGTTATGGGGAGGTTGGATCCATATGTGCTTGTTTTTATCGAGTATTTGGATGACCTGATTGGTTAGGGGTGGCGGCTCCCCTTTTTTTGGGGCTCTTTTTGTATTCTTTTGCATCATCTTGATGCTACTTTCAATAAATTGTTTATTTATAAAAATATATATATACATTGTTAGATCCATTTCGTAACAACTTAAGCTTTTGAAACAATTGGTGACTTAACATGTATGGTTGTTAAATAATATAATTGAAGCTTAGCTTTATGTTGGCTGACTCAATTGACATTTGCCGGAGTTATTGCATCAATAAATAATATGAAGTGCAAATCGCAGTAGTCGCAGATGTCTGCCTTTTTGGCTTTACCGACACTTGCAAATGCATGCTGATTCTGATGTTTTGGTGTTCTTTGCAGATTCCCTTCCGCTAATGCATGTAAATTGAGCAAATCCGAAGCAACTCCAGCAAAGGGCTTACTAAGACCTGGAAAGCAAAGTCCTTCCGAACCTCAACATGGAGTTGACGTGGTATGTTTGAGTCCTTATCGGTCTCTTTCTCTGTCCACTATGCTTCATTAATTTTCTAGCTGTTGTGATCAACTGTTTTCATGTATACAGAATCTGTCAGCCAAACTGTATGCTGCTCTGCGACTGCTTCGTACTATTCTTATTAAAGAAGGTGGGGAAGGGGTCTTGGCGCACCACATATTTGGGTGAGGTCTCATTCCATCATTTGTTGTTGTTGCTGTTGGTTATGATATCCTTCACTTCTGACTGTTGCTTTTAAATATTTTTTGACAAGCATCTCTGCTCCATTTGTTTTGGCAAGAAAATGTTTTCCACGGAAAATGATTTCCTATGTTTGGTTGCAACTTTAAAACTTATCTGCTAGTGGTGGTGGAATTGGTAAGATTTTAGTCTTGGAAAACGTTTTCTATGTTTTCAGCCTTGCAAAGATAGAAAACAATTTTTTGCCAAAAAAAGCTTGTTTTGCATTGACCACAAATTTTTTTTGTTTACTTCCATTTTTTGGTTGTACCAAATGCTGGAAAATGCAGAAAACATTTATTGTAAAATATTTTTGTCCAAACAAACAAATGGAGAGCTAAATTTGGAAAAATTCAGCTTGTTACAAATTAGAATGTTTGTTTCAGCATTCAGATTTTTCTGTTCCCTTCCCGCCTTTATGTAGCTGACAAAACTAATGTCCTGACATGTTGCGGTTTCTGTTCTTTCTCAACTCAGAAATGCTACATTGCACGAGATGAGCGTGAGCATTCCCAGAACTAAGGAAGAACTTCTCGAGATTCATGGCATTGGAAAGTAAGTTTTAAGGTTAGATTATCTATCATTATTACTTAGCAAGCACATTTTAATGAATATATTGGTTTAATTTAGTGTAAAGCTAAGCAAGTATGGAGATCGGTTTCTGGAAACCATTGAAGCTACCATCAAAGAACACTACAAGATGGAGAAAATCAGCAGCGGTAGTAATGACAGTTTGGATTCAATAAAGCGGAGAAGAGATGCAGTTAGGGTTTCCAAAGATGGCGATGACTTCATGGAAAGCACAGGACGATCAAAGAAAAGGGCACTGAAAAAGCAAAACAGAAGTGTCGAGGTTGTTGATTTTAGCGAGGCGGATTATTACAACGGATCTGCTAACGTTGATCTAGATTTTGATGACACTGACTTTGACATTGAAAATAACGTGTCAGATCTGAACGTGGAACGGAATGCAGGAGGAAGAGTGCTACCTTACTGGTCAGCGCAATGAAAAACCAAGAAATAGTTTTATTGGGTAGATAAATTATCATCTCAAGCATTTCATGTTTGATGTTGTTTGTCAATGCATTTTAGGTTGTTGGAGCAAGGTTCTTGTTCCATCGAATGTAATAGGAGGATACATTTTGATGTGTACAGTGTATATCAAAGCTAGTGGGTGGCAAATTAAATTAAATTTTATTTTATTTTCCCACTTTTTTTGGCAGGACGAATGCATTTGATCATTTTGAAACAAATTGATTTTAATGTGACAAATGTGACCGAAACAAATCATTCTGAAACAAAATACAGTTAGTGTCACAGTTTTAGAATAATCATACTGATCCCTTTAGCAAATTTATGATAAGTTAAATTTTTTTGATAATGTTATATGATTTTTTTTAGGAACAAATAATTTTTAGGAACAAATAATTATCTATAATAATAATAATTTTCTTGTATATTATTATCGTAACTAACTTTATAATTTCTTGGAAAAAAACATGGCAAAACACAAGAAAATCTAATTTTGTCTATTTAAAAATTATCTATAATTAAAATTTCAAAAGTTTCTATCCCTTTCTTTCAAAATTTCTAAATTATTATTATTTTTTTTCTTTCACTTTCACTTTCTACAAATTTTTCTTTTTAATCAAAACATATTTAAGGAATAATCATGCCATTCCCTTTTATTTTCATTCCAATAAATTAAGCACAGCCTAACAATATTTACGATATATTAAAAAAAATAAAAATAGAATCATATAATATATATCAGTGTCATACAAAATTGAATTACAAGGAACTATGTTTAAAGTTGTCATGGTTAGTCTAGTAATAATTATCCCGAATCCATAGATCTAACTGATCATTATATCATTTTTTCTTTCTCTATTATGGAAAGTATAAGGGGATGTTTGGCATAAAAGAAAAGCGAGTTCAGCCAAAAGAAAATGAGGAGAAAATTTAAGGGAAAGGGGGAGAAAATTTTCAGTTGTGAGAGAGTGGCCGTGTCCTCCGCCGCGAATAGTCTGAGTGAAACCCAAGACGGTCGTCAACGACGTTCTTCTGATTGTGAATTACAAATATATTTTATAGGGTTTTCAATTGTGAAATCAAAGGGTTATGGTTTCAGGAATTTGGGTTTTGAATTGTGAATCCTGTATATATTTATTGCATTGTGACTGTGAATCCTATCTATTTTTTTACAAATTAGGTTTTTGAATTTTGAATTGTGAATCTTGTCTATATTTTTTGAATTGAAAATTTAATTTCTGATTGCTTCTTAGTCCTGTTGATATGGTTAAATCTTATTATTTTTTCGCTTATCTCTTTAGCTTCATCATTAGGCCACTATAACTAGTACAAACAATTTTTTGGGTTGTTTTAGGAAATAAGTTAAATGCTAATTTTTTGTATTTTTAATTTTTTTTGGGAAAACGTGTAAAAAAAATACTGAAAATGCCTTTTTACCTCTTTGCCAAAAAATTACCAAAACATTAGAAGTCAAAAAATTTGATATAAATATATGACTTTTTACAAAAAATTTGATATAAACATTAGAGGTGATGCACAAAAAATTAGAAGTCAAAAAATGACTTTTTACCTCTTTGCCAAAAGAGGCCTTTGAAGTCGTCCTAGAAAATGCTATTATCAAAACATTTGATATAAATAAAAAAAAAATTGTTTAAAAATTATGTTTGAAAAAATTAAAATATTTGATTTATAAAATGACTCATTCTCGATAATTTTTAACCACTTGAATTATCCAATTGACTTATTCTTTATGCGCCTGCATTATGTTTATTCACTTAAGTTTTAACTTTTTATGATAGTCGGATGTCTGAATCAGTTTACGTATTTATGGACTAATCTTACAATCCACTCCAAACGTCCCTTCCACGTAGATCCGACAAATCTCAATTAATACCTATAAACCTGACACATACTGAGAGTTCAACTTGAGACCTGAAATGAGCATACCTAATTTTTAACGCATAAGGAGAGCTCATTAATATTAATGAAACTCAAGTTTGACTCGGTTCAGGTCGATACTTTTTTTGTTAAGTTATTTATATTGCTTAAAATTATGAGAGCTCATTAATTTTTTATTTAGGTTATTTCTTACGTTGTTTCCCTAAGTTATTTCTTACGTTATTTCGTATGAGGTTATTTCCCTAAGGGAATAATCTCATAGGAAATAACCTACCAAATAACTTTGTCCCTAATGGCAGAAGCTTGAGCAAATAAAAGTAACTTCACTTTAATTGTCCTTAAATTTCACTAATTGGACCACCAGTTTTAAAAAATTACGTGAACAATGTTTGAAATAAAAATTAAGAACAAGTCATACAAAATCAGTCGAGTTATTTCAACTCAATGAAAAAAATAATAATTTCATAGAAAAAGTTACACTATGATTTAAGATTTTTGTATGACTTGTCCAATTTTGTTCAATCGCACTGAATAAATACAATACTTGATACAAATTATACTATAAAATTATATGAACAGAAAAATAAAAGAAGAATCTTCATGATGTCTTCACATTATAAATTATTGATATATCTGTCTAGTTTATCGAAATACTAAAAAAATAGATCAAGATTTATCAAAATATCCTCAAAAAAAGTGTTTTTTAAATTGTTACCATTTACATGCGTACGATTAAATCATTGCCCAAATTAGGGGCTTTTCCCAAATTAAGGCAGAATAGTAATTTATTTCCCAAAGTAGGCTTAGTTTGGACAGAATTCCTAAACTAAGCTAAAACGCAAATACAAACCACGCTTTCACCGTTTTTGTGGCCCTCCCGTGGACAATTTGTAAAATCTTAAAAGCGTGGTATAATCCACACTTTTAATTAACAAAACGTGGTTACAAATCACGCTTTTAAGGAAATTTTATTTATACATAAATTTTTAAGTAATTATTTTTTTAAAGTAAATTTGATTAAGGAAATTTGATTTATACATAACCATGCTTTTGTTAAGTAATTCTTTTTATCTTCAGAAAACGTGGTTGCAAGCCACGGTTTTACTGTTGACCCGTGAATAATAACCACTTTTAAGCAAAATGTAAAAATTTAACAAAAAATTCCAAACTAGCACTCATTCTTGTTTCTCACAGACACTCACACTCACCCTCTCTATCTCTCTCTCTGACACACACACTCACAACACTCACACTCACATCAAACATATATAATTTGTAATATATAAATTTTATTTTGTAAAATTCAGACCAACAGTAAATATATATAATAATAATTGATAATAGCAAATAATAATCAACTATATAAAATGATTTTTTTTTTTTACTTTAATTCTTAAAATGTAATTTTTTTATTTAGGTAAATTACACAGACACCCCCTAAAGTTTATGTTTATGACAGTTATTCCCCCACCTTTGAAAAAAAATTCATTGGAAAAAAAATAAAATTAATTGGAAAAGTAAATTATTCCAAAAGAAAAATTAAATTAAAAAAAATTAATTGTTCTGAAGTTTATAAAATAAAAATTATATATATTAAAAATTATATGTTTGATGTGAGTGTGTGTTGTGGGTGTGTCTGTCAGAGAGAGACAGAGAGAGAGTGAGTGTGTGTGTGTGTGTGAAAGAAGAGAGAGTGCTGCTTTTGATTTTTGTTCAAAATGTGTTTTGAAAACACGTTTTTACATATTTTACTTACAAGCGTGGTCACGAATATGTATAAATGAAATTTCTTTATGTATAAATCAAGTTTACCAACACTTTATAATTTATATAAAGTCATAACCTACACTCATAATTTATGCAATGATTAGAAATTTAGGTAAATTAGAAATATTGTTACTTTGCTGTAGGTTGTTAGTTTGATGTAAAGTTAGGTTTACCTACACTCATAATTTTACCTACCTCATAAGATTGTTAGATTTTCCTACACTCATAAGTTTACCTACACTCAAAGTAACAAGGTTAACAACTTACACTCATAAGTTTATGTAAATTATTTAGATTTATAATTTATCAATTACCTAAATCAACTTACATCAATTACATTTATTTAATAATTACAAATGTTGTTACTTTATAATTTATAATCATTTTTATATAATTTATACAAAATTAATAAAAGATTTTCAGACCTAAAACTTAGGTGAATTACATTTAATGTGCACAAGAGCATGATCTTAATCCTAATAAATAATGTAAAAAGCATAACACAAGAGCACAGTGTTAATTTTGTATGTGTTGTAAGATTTGTTTCTTAAAAAGCTAAAAAATCTAAAGTATAATCATTATTTTAACTCATATTTTAATTAAAAAATTAATAATGATTGTTGGATTACTATTGCTGATTACTTAAATAAAGTTTTTGCGTCACAAGTAATTGTAATTGAATGGGTTAAAATTTATATAATTCTTTTACAAGTACAAGCAGATATAAGTATATCGTTGCTATTTTAATATTTTTTGTCTTAATTGAAGCAAGTATATGGAGATTGTTCCAATTATTTTCTACTGGGGGGAAACATAATTCGGGATCCCGATGAAGGCGTCTCATATGATGCTAAGCCGAAAAGGATATATGCGGTGAAAATTGGCACCACGCTTAGCAATTTGGAAGAGATGTTTATGTCAAAGGTGGCAAGCTACGGGAAAAGTGTCCGATTGACCTTCAAATGTAGACATCCTTATCGCCAGTGGCAAGCACATAGCAAATACAAGATATTACCGATTAATGACGATGAGGCGTTGAACACCGTATTAAGTATCGGTGCAAGTTTTCAAGCACCAAATTGTTTGGAAGTCTACATTGATAAAGAGGTTGTACACAATATTCCGAACATGACACAGATGGATTCTCGTCCGTTTACTACATTGCTGACGCATGGGATTGACACAACAGCGTTTCAATCTCCTATGTATGAATCAGATCAATGTTATCCACTGGGCTACACACAACAGTCATTTGAGGGCCATGGTGTAGAATCAAGTTCACGTGGTGGATATGATTATGAATTTGACAATAACACACAAGACGTGCCCACATGCAGCCATCATACCACTCCGGTTGAAGTTGCTGGTAATATGGCAGAAACAGTGAACAATGTGCAGTTTGCTGACAGTGACATGTACGGTCCTGATGTCGCCCTAAACGATGATGACAATGAAATGTGTAATGAAGAAAATTTATTGGGCGGATCAAATGATGATGATGATGATGATGAA